TGTTCCACGTGTATGGCATCAGTCACCGGCAGCGATGAAGTGTCAGTCGTATCGAGGTATGTCTGAGAGTATGACCCGGGCCTCTGTAATAGCAGCGAGATGGCCAGCTAAGGACCTGATTCCTGGTGCCGAGCTTGATTGATGCGGGGTGATCACGTGGGATAATGTAGAATCCAAGTATTCCAGTGAGTCAGTCAAACAAGCATTAACTTTCAGACATGAAGAATCAGGCGTCCCGTTGAAGTTTGAACGCAAGGACGACGAAGAGTGTGCCCGCGAAAAGTCGGAGGTTGGACTGGGATGTTGAAGTTCCGTGCACTTTAGAACCCAACTCTCATCGTTTCACCGACTTCAATGATGCGCGATTTCAGTCAGGCAGAGATCGAAGAAGAAGAGCGGTATTTCCACAACGTCATGGAGACCTTTCGCCAATACGCGTCTTACTCGGTAAAAAATTCGGCCTCACTGCCTTTACCATTCAACTGATCAGAACGAATATTGGCCTGCAGCTTGCAGCGAACAACAGACGCCGGAAGGACTTTTACACTCTCCCGCTGGAGGACCGGCAGCTGCTGGATGAGCTCGGGTACAAACACAAGCTGGACGAGGTGGACAGAGCCATCTTGACGAACGCTGAATTCCTGAAGGAAGTTGTCCAAGACCCCGAGATCTTTGGACACGACGAGGAGAAATACGAACACGGGGACGAAACGGTATCAGCTATAGATGGGCATACAGGAGGTATGTCCAAAGCCGCTTCGTCGTACAAATTCGACGTTCACGAAGCTTGCGTCGTGAGCATATAGAATCAACGCATGACCACAGTCACCCCCACTCGCACGATGGTCTAAATGCTGGCCACCCACACTCCCATGGCCCCCCCTTGACTCTGGGCCCCGGCTCCCATAAACCCAGACGCTACCGACCCACCGACGCCGACATGGACAAGCTCCGGAGCACCCTAAAGCAATTCGTGCGAGACTGGAGCGCGGAGGTACATAACCACCCGCTCTCCCAGGGATACTGACGCAACAACACCTCGAAATGCAGGGTAAGACAGAGAGAGAGACGTGCTACAAGCCGATGGAGGATGCGCTAGTGGCGCATTTCGCCCGTGTCCCCGTTGAAGAAAGGTGGTGATTGTGGTGTACCCCTCTGTCCAGCGCTCACGCGTATGATACGTGACAGGCTATCACTACGGGTCCTCGTCCCCGGCGCAGGTATGGCGCGACTAGCCTGGAATATTGCCAAACTCGGTACGTTAAAGTCTTGTTTTTGTGTCAAGCACATTTTGACAGACGAGATTGTTGTTGTTGTCATTTGCACCCGGACAATGTAGGATTTGCATGCCAAGCAAACGAATTCTCCCATTACATGCTCTTAGCCTCGCACTTCATCTTGAACCGGTACGAATTCCTCATAGCTCTCAGTAACCGTTTTAATACTTACTGGCGGATTCAGAACGACGGAGGTCGAGAAGCACGAGGTCTACCCATACGTCCACAGTTTCTCGAACCTGCGAGACCGACCGTCGCTGCTCATGCCTGTCCGCATTCCCGACGTCTTACCCTCCTCCCTGCCTGCCAACTCGGATTTCTCAATGGTGGCCGGTACGTGTCGTCCGTTCCAGTTCTCCATTGCCGCCTACGCCACACTGCCTTAGGTGATTTCGAGGAGATCTACGGTGACGAGGAGTCGCCGGCTGAACAATGGGACGCGATCGTGACGTGTTTCTTCATCGATACAGTGGGTCACCTCCCAGAACCTCGCCCGGAGATCCCACCTATACGAAAGGAATATCCTGCAGGCTAAGAATATCGTCAATTACCTTCGTATATTGCACCGGATTCTGAAACCTGGAGGCGTATGGATTAATCTCGGTCAGTGTCAATGTGTTTCTCTGATCATGGCTGTGAACTGAGGAGGAACAGGGCCGCTGTTGTGGCATTTCGAGAATAACGCGACCAACGAGCCCTCGGTCGAGCTCGATCTGGGAGAGGTCAAGGCGCTTGCGAGTAAAATTGGATTCGAACTCCACGTACGTCTCTTAAGTCGATGAGCTCTGTGGCACTGATCGATGGACTTGTGGTAATAATTGGCCATCTTCGCAGAATGAGAGAACAGTTGAGACGACCTATGTGAATCATAAACAGAGTATGCTGGGATACGTGTATCACGCAGCCTTCTGGTGCGCTACGAAACAGGCATAGATCATAAAGGACTGTATTTATTAAACACTTGTATCCTCCGATGACCCAAAAGGTTTGTTCTCTAGCGAGTCAAAGTTCTATGCGTCTCATGATATTAATGATACTGAGTGATTCTGCGTCGATCGGCGCCCGGCGCTGCTCGGCCACCCCTATGACTCAACCAATCGATTGCAGTTATAAAGGCCATGATTATCCAGCATAGCTTCCGGGACCACGATGTTACTCGACTTCATAACTCTCGACGTCTTCACCGACACTCGATATGCCGGCAACCCCCTGGCTGTAGTGTCGGTACCTTCAGCTGACGCGCTCACGCCAGAGCAGAAGCAAGCGATCGCGAAGGAGTTCAACCTGAGTGAGACCGTCTTCATCTACCCACCGACAAACGACGTGACACCGGAGGTCGCTGTCAGCATCTACACGCCCAAGCAAGAGCTGCCCTTTGCAGGGCACCCGACCGTCGGCAGTACATACTTCCTCTTGGGCATCGGCCCACTGGAAGGGAAAAAGGAGGCGATCCTGAAGACGCCCTCTGGCCTGACGCCAGTCTCTTACGACCCGAGCGCTTCGCGGGGGGCGGTCAGCGTAGCGCACGATGTCCTTATCCACAGACCGTACAGAGAGTTATACGGGAAAATCTCGGGGCTGTCCGATGCTGACCTGGTGCAGCTGCCGGGCGGAGGAGTGGCAGTGTGCTCGATCGTCAAAGGGATGACGTTCTTGATGGTGCATATCAAGGATCTCGAGGCGCTTGGACGGATGCGGGGCACCACGCAGGATATTGTCATCGAGGCAAGGGGCGAGAGGGCTGGCGAGAAGGACTGGCTAGTCAATTTCGTGGGGGCATACTGCTTCGTCATCACAGACGAGACTACAGAGGGCGGTGTTGGTGTGAAGAAGGTGAGGGCGAGGATGCTGCACGGAATTGGAGAGGAGGACTCGGCTACGGGGAGTGCTGCTAGCGCATTTGGTGCGTGGATGAGCCTGGCGAACGCACCAGCCAGCGAGAAAGAGCAGAGGTATGAGATTACGCAGGGCGTTGAGATGGGGAGGAGGAGCGAGATTGGTGTTAATGTGAGGAAAGGGGAAACGGGCATCGAGGAAGTCAGATTGCACGGTCAGGCTGTGAAGGTTATGGACGGGAAAATAGAAATATGAGCGGGTTGTGATGAGAAGATTTGCTCGTAGAATATTACATAGTTCAAGCAGGTGCTCATGTCAGGGTTACATACGGTTGTTGGTGAACCTGTCCACACGTGATCTTGGTGCCACAAAGAAGCCGCGGTGTCGCTGACATAAGCAGACACTCGTTCTCAATCCACCGCCACACCTGACTTCCTCTGATTCCGCCTGAGCAAACATGGTCTGCCTTTTGTCTCTACTCGCATCTCCCGCAACTACTGAGTCTATATTGCCAGGCCCGCAATGAAGAAAAGGCCCAGTCCATGCTCTACCGCTTCCGCGAAGCCCAAGCCGCAGAGCTGGGGCTTGGGACGCGCGCCGACCGCCGCCCGCGGATGGCGAGCTCGTGCAAGAGCTTGCGGGAATGTGAGCGGTGGAGGGGCGAGATTCTGCGGGAGATTAGCAGGAAGGTCAGCAAGATCCAAGACTGTGCGTATCCGCGATTCGTCGATCCGAGGGGTGCGCTGACGGACGAGCTCTGCAGCGGGCTTGACGGACTATGAGGTCCGCGACTTGAACGACGAGATTAACAAGCTCATGCGGGAGAAGCGGCATTGGGAGAACCAGATCGTTGCGTTGGGTGGCGCGAATTACAGGAGGAATGTGCCCATGATGGACGACGATGGGAGGGAGGTTCCGGGGACGAAGGGGTACAAGTGAGTGGCGCGAGCTGTTTGTGTCGTCTCTAATCTAGAAGGCGCACTCTGCTAGAGAATGCTGCTAACTGTAACGCAGATACTTTGGCCGAGCGAAGGACTTGCCGGGCGTCCGGGAACTCTTCCAATCAAAGAAACTAGAGGAGGACGAGGAGAATCAGGTGCGTGCTTTCTATATCCCAGATTCACTATTTTATATACAATTTTCTAGATCCAAAGTTTCTACAAACGATTCACGAACCAAGGCCCGGCCTACTACGGGGACCTCGACGAAGCAGATGGGTCGCTACTCAAGGAGGAGCAAGACCGCGAACAAGAAGGTCTGTACTCTTACCATATACCTTCTCCCTCCTCACCATTCGTCTTACACGCTTTCATGATCCACCCCTTCACGACCTATCTAACCTTCCGTCGCTTCCACGAAATATTCGTTTCTTTCCTGATCCTAATGCTCCATTCCGGGCCCTTTTCACAGAATGGGAAGAAGCCTACCAAAATCTCCGGGGCACCCTTGGCCTCCCCACCGACGCGCCCATCCCTCCGCTCCCCCGTCCCACTCCCCAAACTGTCTCCATCAACATTACCGCCTCGGACGAGCCGCCCTCGGGCGGCACAAAACGCAAGGACCCCGAAGCAGGAGAGGAGGACGTCGAGATTGCGGACGGCAAGCGGAGCAAAACAGATCAAACAACGGTGGATAAACCCGACCCCGCCTCTCCCGATGACAAAGCGCGGCTGCAGACCGCCGTGTCCTACATCCCGTTCCTCAGCCCCGAGCACCTCCTCCCGCCCAAGCTCCCCGGTCGCGCGGAGATGGAGGCGATTTTGCTAGACGTGCGGAAGAGGGCTGTGCTGGAGGAGTATTTTGGATGATAGATACACCGCTGTCAGGACAAAAGTAATTTTCTTGGGATGAGCAAAAGTGATTTTCTGGGGATAAGCAAATAGTATAGGGCTCCGCCGGGGTTCGAACCCGGGGTCACCTGCATATATACGCAATTCCTGCAAGCCCAAAGCAGGTATCTTACCACTAGACCACGGAGCCTTCCGGTTCCGGTGAAGCTGCTTACTCTGGGATTTTGTATGTACAGACTTGCGCCATCTGAGACAATACCTGAGCGTAGATGGCGTTCTCGAGGAAAAGGTCAATAATCATGCATATGAGTGGCATGCGGAACGAGGAGCTAACGAACAGAATCAGTGAGCGGAAAACACAAACAACCGCCACCCGTGACGCGTGACAGGGTATGTTTGAACTTTTGAGCCCGAACAGAATCTGGAAATTGTAGTCGCACAAGGTTTTTCAAGTTAGAAGCGACGACAGCCGCGAAATGCATTACAAGGCGTGATATCGTCCTACAATAGATAATACAAGATATGCGTGCTGGTAAGTACAAATGCGTCTGTCATGAAAGTGATGTCTATGCAGTCGTTAAGGATAATCAAGCAATTGTCGAAGACGAAGATCGAATGAAGAGGAGTGGCGAATGGTGAAATTATTAGGAGACTACTCTCCCAACCATTCCCCTGCGCTCGCGAGCCGCGCGAAGATGGCATTCCGTTCCATAAGGGCCTCGTACGGACCCTCCTCCACGATGGCACCGTCCTCGACCACGAGAATCCGATCGCACATCCGCATGAGCGGCAGCTTGTGCGTCACCATCAGCGTCGTGCGGCCGACCTTCGCACCGCGAATCGTCTCTATCACGGCAGCCTGGTTCGCCGGATCGAGCGCCGACGTGCACTCGTCCAAGATGAGGATCTTGGAAGGACGCGCCAACGCGCGCGCGATGGATATCCGCTGTGCTTGGCCCCCAGAAATGAGAGCGGCGTTCTCTCCGACCATCGTGTCATAGCCCTTGGGCAGCATGCCGATGAATTCGTCCGCGTTCGCGGCCAGCGCGGCTCGGCGGAGCTGATCGTCGGAGAGGGATTTGGCGCCGTATGCGATGTTCTCGCGAACGGAGGCGTCGAAGAGGTTGGGGTTCTGGCTGACGACGGCGACGTGTTCGCGAAGGTAGTCCACGCTGATGGATCGAACGTCCGTCGTGCCGATAGTGATCGATCCAACGGGGGGTTCGTATAGCCGCTGTAACAAGGCCGCGATTGTGGACTTGCCAGACCCAGAGGCACCAACGATGGCGACACATTCACCCTCCGCAACAGAGAAGGAGACGTCCTTCAAGACGGGAGCATCGGGCCGCTCAGGATATGAGAAGGCAACGTTCTTGAATGCAACTTCCCCTTCAATAGTGGGCCGCATGAGACCACAGGATTCGTCCGTGTCCGAGGACAGTTGCAAGAGACGGTTGAAGTCGTTTGTCGCTTGGACAGACTTGGCGATGCGATTTGCTATTAAACGTAGGAGAATTATTATCCGCTCCCAAAGCAGAGACAATAAATAGGAACTTACTGAAGGACATCAACTGAGACCCGAGAGTAACAGTGAAGACGATCAACTGCAATGTCTCGATCATTTGCAAGTACGTGTAGATTCCTTTCGCGATGAACACAGCGCCGACGTAGAAAAGAAGCGCTTCCGCTAGATATATGAGTGAGCTGGCAACACCGTATGTGCAGCCTTCCACGAACGCGCCCCGCACGCCGGTGGAGAGAGCTTCGCCAACGGTTTTCTCGAATTGAGCTTGGAAGATTTTCTCGAAACCCATAGAGCGAATGCCGCGAATATTAGAAATGACCTGAATGGCGTCGTTCAGTACAAAGAGCCACATCGAGATGAGGGGCACTTACATCATAATACGTCTTCGCCACGTCTTCACGGGCGCGCTTATTCCTGTATTCGGCTCGCGCGACGAGGTTCGTCTGAACGGCCATAGTAACCACGAATACGGGAGCGATCGCGAGACCGACTAGGGTATATTGCCATCCTCGCGCAAGGGCCCAGATCAAGCCAACGCTGAGCATGGCACTGACTACCATGCACTGTGCGATAACTGTAGCGATGAGACTTCGGGCATCGTCGCCGTCCTTGATCAAGATATTCATGAGACGGACGGAGCTGTTGTCGGTCTTGTCGAACCATTTCTTGTCCTGTGATAAGACGAGTCGGAGGCAGACATTTCTGATCCGCGTAACCCAGCTCATGGCAAGTGTTTCCATGATGAAGAACTTGAGACCCATGAAGAGACCGTCCGCGGCGGCAATGCTGAGAACGATGCCACCGAAGACGTTAATAGTTGAGACGTCATGCGCTCCGATGGACACCTCATACAATAACCGAGACAGGAGGAACGAGAAGATGGGAGTCATAGCACCGCTGATCAGGGAAATAAGAATTCCAAGGAAGAAGACAGGCTTGTGAGGGATAGACGGATAGATGGCACAGATTGTTTGGAATAAGGACAGAGATTTCTCTGGTGTTGAAGATGCTTGAGAGTGGGTTTGATCCGTCGCAGGACGTTCCACCTTGACAGATTTGAGTTCACGAAGTCTAGCCTCATCCCACCGAGCCCTAGGCTTATCTTCCCCGTGACGGTCGCGGTTCTGGTGCGCCTGAGCACCACTCCTCTCCAGAACCCACTTCTCCTCCTCAAAGTCTTCATCAATATCAATCCAGGAAGACCGTTTGTATGTCGCCGAAGTCGGAGAAAACTGCAGACTGAGTCGACGACCGAGGGCGGCCGGAGGCGGGGGCAGATCCGGAACGAAAATCAAACTTGACGGCCTCCGCGGGCGGTTCTCCATCATCTCCTGACTGAACGCCTCAGGGGGAACGAACCGACTAACTCGGTACGTGTCCCTCGCAGTAACAGGTGCCTTAGAAGGCTCCGTCACCGATCCCTTGGTCAAATCAGCAATAGCATCGAACATCCAGTTCCCCATCGTGATCGGCCGAACACTGGGTTTCGCGACGCTCATATGCTTCAGCACCTTTGAGTCCTCAACGAGAAGCTCCTTCCTCGCGTCATGCTGCTCCAAGATAGCCTCGACCTCCATCTCGCGCTCCTTCCTCATCTCTCCCTCCGCAGACTCTGTGTCCTTCTCAGGCAGGCCACCCATCGCGCCCTGCGTCTCTGCCATCTCGCGGAACTCGCCGCTGGGGATGGTCTCGAGGTCGGCGCGGTAGCCCTGCTCGATGACGCGCCCATGTTTGAGCACGTACACAAAGTCCTGGGACTCTATCTGCGAGAGGTCGTGCGTGATCACGATGGTGGTCTTGTTCTGCCGCCAGCGTTTGATTGCTTCGAATACTAATAAGCGCGAAGTCGCGTCCAGCGCAGACGTCGCTTCGTCTGCAAAGACCATATTTAGTTGTCATTCAAGTCGAACCACCCAAATGCTTACCAAGAATAAGGACAGACGGGTTTCTCAGACGAGCCCGGGCAATAGCCAGCCTCTGCTTCTGCCCGCCACTCAGATTAGCACCTCCGTTCCCCAGCCGGGTATCATAGCCTTCGGGCAAGTCCCTAACGAACTCGTGCATCAACGCCACCCGACAGGCCTCCACCACCTCTTCCCGGCTGACGTCCTCCGGCCGTCCTCCCACAAGGCCCATCGCAACATTCTCATGCACAGTCGCATCAAACATGATGCAAGTCTGCGACACGGCGGCAACGTGGTCCCGCAGGAACGCGTCGTCGAGGAAGGCCATCTCCTGATCGTCCAGCTGCACGCTGCCCCGCTGAGGCGTATACATCCGGAGCAGCAGCTGGGCGATCGTCGACTTCCCAGAACCGGAGCCGCCGACGATGAAGGTCGTCTCGCCCGCAGGGAGGTATAACGAGACGTCTTCGAGCACGGGGACAGTCGGTCGCGACGGGTACGCGAACGTCACACTGTGCAACGCGAACTCGCCATCGCACCGCGGCGGGGCAATGCGCCGGAGCGTTGCCGCATTCTTCTTGAGGTGCGGGCCAGAAGGAAGCGGAGTATAGAGCGTCGACACGGACTTGATTGGCGCGGAGACCTCTACAGGCTCCTCAACCAGGCGTAGAAGCGACGCCATCGCGACTTTGCCCTTGGTAAGGACAACAAGCTGTGGAAGACACATTTGCAGGTTGCTGGTCGAGATCAGGCAGGCCCAGAAGACGGTCATAACGTCGCCCGCACTAGCGGAACCGTCACGGACAAGCTTCGCGCCGAACCAGAAGCCCTGAACAAACATGGCCATCATCGTGAACTGCGAGAGGCCGGAGGAGACCGCCCACAGGGAGTTGCACCGCTTCGCGGCGGCACGCATTCGATCCAGGACGGTGCTGATTACCTCGAGCTCGACTTGTTGAGCGTTGAAGGCCTTGACAGTAGCAATAGCTGCCACAGCGCGATCAACTAGTGTTGCTGCAATAGCCGTCTGGTGGCGTTCTTCATTGAGGTTCGGGTTGACGAGTCTGGTGACGACACCTTGGATGAGAACAAGGACAGGTACCACAGAAAGGATGACGAGTGTGAGTGACCAAGAGCGGGTGAAGGCCAGTATGAGAGCGGTCACTGTCGTCGTAAGATGTTGGATGACCATGCCGGAGGCGAGCGAAGACGCCATCCGAACTTCGTCAGTTTCCCTACACAGAATCAGCTGGAAGATCTGCTATAAGACAGCGAATGTACACACTTGGCAAATTGGGCCATAAGACCACCAGCGCCCACTGGCCCCTGACCTTCCTCCACAGATTGCACTGAGCCTTCAGAGCCCATCTTAGTATCGAACCAAACCATCTCTTTCCGGGTAACAGCCTGATAAACCCGCTTGCGCAAGCTCATCGCATTCCTTTCACCAGCCCATATCCACAGACTTGAGGTAATACTGCTAAGGGCAAGAGCACCTGCAGCCAAGCCGATTAATTCAAGGGCGGCTAAACCGACACCTCTGAGCAGCTTATGTTTTGCAGACTCGGGTGGGTTGGGGGTTTGAGGGAACGCGGCAAATGCATCGAAGTTTTGTCCGATGACAATAGTCATGAAGGGAGCGATACCACCAGTAATGACGGAAAGAAGGATGGCGGGTAGCACAAGGAGGAGGAGGTCGCGGCGGGCGAGAAGGGAGAAGAGAAGACGGATGGAAGGAGTGGGGGGCGTGTAGGGGGGTAG